AAAAGATTGAAGTTGTCAAGGACTTCATTCTTCTTGGATCAACTATCAACACTCACGGAAGCAGCAGTCAAGAAATCAAACGACATATTGTATTAGGCAAATCTGCTGCAATAGACCTTTTTAAAGTGTTGAAGAAAAAAGATGTCAGCTTGAGGACTAAGGTGCACCTGACCCAAGCCATGGGTTATTGTCAATAACTTCATATGCATGCAAGAGCTGGACAGTGAATAAGAAAGACTATAGAAGAATTGATGCTTTTGTGTTATGGTGTTGGAGGAGAATATTGAAAGTACCATGGACTGCCAAAAGAACCAATAGATCCGTTTTGGAAGAAGTGCAGCCAGAGTGCTCCTAAGAGGTCAAAATGGCCAAACTTCATCTCTCATACTTCGGACATATCGTTAGGAGGGACCAGTTGCTGGAGAAGGATATCATGTTTGGTAGGGCGGAGGGTCAGAGAAAAAGAGAAAGACCCCCCAGCAAAATGGACTGGCAAAGTGGCAGCATCGATGGGCTCAAGCATGGCATCAATGTGAGGTTGGCCCAGGACTGGGCAGAGTTTCGTTCTGTTGTGCATAAGGTCACTATGAGTTGGTACCGACTCGATGGCACCTAAGAACAACAGCAATGAGTTGGAACCGACTCCACAGCACACCACCACCACCACCACCACCACTTGTGTAAAACTCTAGAAGGCCTGTTTTCACTCAATCTACAAATATATGATGAGGACTTTTCATGTATCAGATTTTGGAGTCTAATGTATTTAATCATCTACCTACCCATCCATCAAAGGAGCTCTGGTAGTGCAGTGGCTACGAATCGGGCTGCGAACCGCAAGGTCAGCAGTTCAAAACTACCAGCTGCTCCGCAGGAGAAAGATGAGGCTTTCTGCTCCCATAAAGATTTACAGCCTCGGAAACCCTGTTCAGGGTTGCTATGGGTCGGAATCAATTCCACGGCACTTAGCAACAACAACAACAACCCATTCATCACGTTTTTACTGATGCACCTCTATGACAAATAAGATACACTTCTAATTTTTTTTTTTTTGTAGTTGCCATGAGTTTAATTCTGACTTGTGGCAACCCAATGTGTCAGCACAGAGCTGCTTCCTAATATTTTCAATGGCTGATTTTTCTGGAGTACATGGCCAGGTCTTCCTTCTGAGATGCCTCTGAATGGACGCGAACCACCAACCTTTTGGTTAGCAGCTGAGCACATTAACCATCCGCACCACCAAAGAGCTCTCACACATACAGAGGTGACACACACATATGGACACATGGTAAAAAATGGATACACCATGAGCAAGAGATAGGGTCTGTGTGTGGTGCTCTGGGAAAGACAGATGTGGAAACACAGCTGCTCACCGGACTTTGTCACATGCTTTCTCCTCTCACCTGCAGGTCTCGATTATGGTTCTCACAGAGGAGCTGTAGAAAGCGCAGAATGGGCTGCATGATGGTGATGACCGCACTCATCTCCAGCTCGTCCTTCGTCTTGTCTGCGGTGGCCTGGGCGCCCTCCGCTGACTGGTAGTGGTCTTCGGGGTCAGCCTCCCTCCGGAAAGTGGTGAAGGCTTTTCTGGTGGCAGCAGAAGCGTCTAGGAGCTGATCTCGGACCTCCTCTGTTATCTGCGTGGCAGGCTCCTTGGCTGGAAGACAAGGATGAGAAAGTAAGCGCTGCTTAAACCAAAGATGCGATACAGAAACCGTTCGTGTTCACAGGAGATTCGCAAGGCTGGCAAAACACATGGAGGAGTAACCATCTTCTCTCAGCCCTCAGATAGGATCTAAATCCAGTCAAGCCCTGCCAGCTTGCTCAAGGCACTAACATTTCACCTGGGTTTGTTCTGTGTTTGAGAGGAAAAGGCATAGGACAGGTTCTGTCAACCTAAGGAACCCATCCATGGCTTTGGGCCTCAGCTTTTTCATCTGTAAAATGGGGAGACGATTGGTGAATTCTACCTGGAGAGCACTGCTGAAAGGTTCAATAAAGCACTAATTATAATAGTTACTTATTACTATTTCAGCAATGATGGGGCACTTCACTAAATGCCAAGGCACTCTGATAAAGTACTGTTTCTCATGTGCTGTGAGTCACAACGCTTGATGGTAACCAATAGCAACAACATCAGCACCACCAGTCCCCCTAACCGCCCTGTGAGGAAGCCTGCAAGGTAACAAGGTGTTACATAAGAGACAGCAGCTAAAATGTCCGGGTTAGAATGCTGGGGTTGCAGCTACTAGCTCTGTGTCTTTGACTAGTTAATAACTATCGCTCTTCCTCAGTTTCCTCATCTGCAAAACGGAGATTATGATTTTTATCTTTTGTAAATGGTTGGCTTAAGTTTTAGCTGAGTTTATACATGTGAAGAACTCTGAACAGTGCCTGGAATACTAGAAATGTTCATCATTCTTCTTTTTCTTCTTGTTATATTTATTTTATACCAAAAGGTCAGGCAGAGGTTTGAACCCATCAACTGCTCTGTGGAAGAAAGATGTAGCAGTCTGCTTCCACAAAGATTACAGCCTCAGAAACCCTATGAGGCAGCTTTACTCTGTTTCATAGTGTAACAATGCGTCAGAATCCACTTGATTGGGGATTGGTTAAAGGTTCTCAAGCAGGGCGATTTTGGCCCTCTCCCAGGAATACCTGATGGAGTCCTGGTGTGGTGCCAAAGGATAAGCACTCGGCCTCAAGATTGGTTTGAATTGTAAGGTTGATGGTTTAAACTCACCAGTCACCCCTTGGAAATGCTATATAGGCTTGCTATGAGTCAGAATCAGCTCACTACAACAAACCCAGGAACGTTTCATAGTATCTGGAGACTTTTTTCATTTTCATGACTTGGGGGCAAAAGGTGAGAAAATAGGGTGTTGCTGGTTTCTAGGGGGTTGTTATAAGATGCTGTTGAGTTCATTTCAACTTATAACATCTCCATGTGATAATGTAGAACTTCTCCATAATGTTTTCTAGGTTGAAACCTTTATGGGAGCAGATCACAAAGTCTTCCATGCAGCTAGTAAGTGGATGGGTGGATGGGTGGGTGTGAACAGTCAACCTTTTGGTAAGCAGTTGAGCACTTAACTACTGCATCACCAGGATTCCTGATAGAGGGCAGGAATGTTACTAAACATTTTACAAGACAACCACACAACAAAGGATGATACTAATTGTGCTGGAGTTAAGAAACCCAGTTCTCAACGTAAAAAAATCAAGGTCAGAGTAGGTAATGAACTTGTCTATGGAGGTGTAACTCCAAGACGTGTTGCCCTCCTGTGTACAGGCCTGCATACAAGAGGCAATTACCTTTTTTTCGTGAAGGAGCATCTCTGTCTGTTTCGTCATCTTTCTTTTTGTTTCCCAGATCACTGGTGTTTACTGTCACCGTTGCCTTAATCTCTTGCTGGGCCACCTTCATTCGGTCATAGAAAACTTTGAAGAATTTCTCTGACTTCTTGTCTTCTGTTAGCCGGCAGAAAAAAGAGTGCTGCCAAAGAAAACCCACAGACTTTAAACACTGGGACGTATCCGTTACTACTAACACCCCTTTCTGCCATTGAAAACGCCAAAACCAAGTGGATATCACAGTCTGCCAACAAACCTCAGAAAACTTCTCAGTTTGGACCAAGCTTAAACACTCATTCAGACATCACTGTATCACTGATTCTAGGCCTTTAGAATTAGGTGCCATGGATTTCTTTACAAGGACTGTCAGAGAAGCTTTGAAGTCTGCTATGGTGTGGTGGACAGATTTTAGACAACTAAGAATATATACGCACACACACACACACACAATAGCTTGATTAACAGTGGCAATGAACTGTTCTCGGTGATTACAGAAGGGTCAGATATGAACATGAGTACATGCCACCAGTCTTTGTCCAGCTCATTATCTGATCAGGATGACACCTCTCCGTTGTTGCTAATTACTGAGGCATCAGCTGACTCAAGGTGCCCTCAGTGCAACAGAATGAACTTTGGCCCACTTCTTCTTTGACATCTTCATGATCATTGGAACGCTCCAGTTCATTCATTGCTGTCTTCCTATACGGGGTCGCTATGAGTCAAAACCTACTTCATGGAAGGGGGTTTGGTTTGGTGTTCAATCTAGGAGGCCTGTCTGCCGTTACTTCAGACAAAACCATACTTATTTTGCATACAGCATGCTCATTATTCATTTTTTGCCAATCCCCCTTTTCTTTATGCATTATTTGTGTTAACTCACTATGCCGCTTTTTTTTTAACATATTGCTGACTTTTCATTTCTATGTCTGATCACATGGAAACTTCACTTTAGGGAAGCACTGATTTTCTATTACTTGAAATGTAAGCCAAAAGTATTTACTGCTAGATCAACAGTGATACACAAAATTTAACTTGTCTCATTTCATGATAAAACATCATTATTAGTCCCATAAATGGAGCATTGGGACACCATGCTGAAGTCAGTGTATGAATGTACACAGCACTGCACATTACTAAGTAAGAAATGATCCTAGGCCTGAAACGAAAATAACAAGATGTTTGTGTTTTATTGCTGTCATCAATCTCAAACTGAAGCATAATTATGATTAAAAGTAATATTTTTGGAATTTTATTTTTTTACATCTGGGCAGGAGACTAAAGAAAGCGTACAGAACACCATGTTTTACCTGATATGTGGCAGAAATGGTCAAAGAGGCCAAAATTCACTTCTGGAAATGTCATGAGACATGTGCAGCACGTATTTGGACAAACTATGCCACAAGGATTTCCTTAATTGCATCATTTCTGGACATTCTATATGTGGATGCAGTATTTGCACGCACGCGCGCACACACACACACACACACACACACATACACACGGAGCTCTGGTAGCGTAGTGGTTACAAATCGGGCTGCGAACTGCAAGGTCAGCAGTTAGAAACTACCAGCTGTTCTGCAGGAGAAAGACGAGGCTTTCCGCTCCAGTAAAAATTTACAGCCTCGGAAACCCTGCACATGGCCCACTACTCATCTGTCAGTTTCCCGTACTCAGGGGACTTGCCCGTTGCTCTAATGCTGGAAGTGGAATTCCATCTATCAGCAAGGTCACCTGTGGTAGACAGGTTTCACTAGAACTTCAGATTAGGACCAACTAAGAAGAAAGACCTGGTGATCTACTTCTAAAATTTAGCCATTGATACCTTTATGAATATAGAATCTTGCATGTGTGTGTTTATATTGTTTTTTTGTTATGTGCCGTGGAGTCAGTTCCGACCCATAGCGACCCTGTACAGGGTTTCCGAGGCTGTAAATCTTTATGGGAGTAGAAAGCCTCATCTTTCTCCCACGGAACTGCTGGTAGTTTCTAACTGCTGACCATGAGATTAGCAGCCCAACTCGTAAGCACTAAGCTACCAGAGCTCCTTGGGCCATGTCTATGTTGTTGTTGTTAAGTGCCGTCGAGTCGGCAAGAGTAAAATGTATAAAGTCAAATGTGCTTCACAGAATTGCATACATAAAGATGGTTGAAAAGGCAAAGATTTAGGTATGTATAGTTTATCACAATATTTTTTAAAGGGCTCATGAAGCTATGCACTCAATGCTATGACCGAAGTTCAGGACTGACTGAGATGACACTGGACTACAGTGATCTCAAAGTCACCCTGGAAAAAGGTGACTTTCAATTCAGGCCTTGAAAGACAGGGAAGGCTGGTGAGAAGAAGCTCAGAATTAGCAGGTAGCTTGCCTCTTGGGATTCACATTTGGTTTTGGACACACTGCAAGCAATAGTATATACTGTTGATATAAAGCCCAATACGGTATCACAACTCCATTTATGAATATTCACTTTTCACCCCTTTAGCAAACACCGCACGGTTGTGAATTATTTACATAAAAATACAGTATAGTCATTTTCAGATGAACAAAACAAAGCTCCAAACAATGTATTGCTTCTCCTATGGGATATTTCTTCCAATTTCATATCTTCCCCCTTACAAAAGGTAACCCAGGCCTTACAATTCGAGAAACAGAAACAGAAAATCTTAGCAGCCTTCAAAAGCTCTCTAAGTTACCCATCTCTCCCCTACACACACTCCCAATGCCTGATTCAGCAGCTTCTAGGACCATGTACCCATCTGCTGACATAAAACTTCAGGGACTTCTAGTCACTGGCTGAGACATGACATAGACACCTATCTGTCCTGCTTCCCACAAAGCACTTCTTAACTGTGCCTTTTCTTCTCCACCTCTCTGCTCTCCTCTAGCTTCTAGCCTCTAGTCCTTTTCAGTAGACCATAACAAATACACATAACATTTCTACTTGTGCCTCCTGGCTCTATCCTTTACCCTACACCTGCTCCCAAACACCAGAACACAAGCCACCATCCTCATTCTTCGTGTCATCCAGTCTTCCAAGATGTTCCCTATTTGAACCATGCATATCTTTTACTGTCCCCTTTAAAACCAAATCAAAGGCTACTGTCATCAAGCTGATTCCAAGTCTTGGAAACCTCAACCTTACAGAGCAGAACTGAGTTCCAATTTTCTTGACTGGGGGGTGCAAATGGTTTGTGATCGGCTACTAACATACAGGTTGGTGGTTTGAACCATCCCAGTGGTGATGCAGAAGAAAGGCCTGGCGATCTGCTGTTGTCAAAATGATAATTCAAGAAAATTCTAAGGAGCAGTTCTATGTTTAACACATGGGGTTGTCACGAGTCAGAATGGCAGGGGTTTTTAAAAAAATCTTTATGGGAGCAGATCACCAGGGCTTTCTTCTGCGGTACCACTGGGTGATTTTGAACTGCCCACCATTCAGTTAATAACTGAGCACAAATTGTTTGTACCACTTTGGGTCCTTGCCATCTTCCTTTTCTGCCTTTTCATTTCTTTTCAGTTTCTCACGGTTCCTTCCTGTCCACTAGTTTACTGTGCACTGTGATACAATGCACAGTAAACTACCAGCATACTTATGGGAGCAAAGGCAGGTCCAGACTCTGACCCCATGAAACTGACAGACCGGGAAGAAAAGACATAGTGATTCAATGATCATCTTTGATGTTGTTATGTGCTGTTCCTCATCTTTTTCCCATGGAGTGGCTGGCAAGTTCAAACTGTGGACCATGTGGTTTGCAGTCCAGTGCTTACTGTGTGGAGCCACTACACTTCCAATCATCACCCTAATTACTATGGAAATATAAAACAGCCTTTTATCCCTACTACACTGACCTACTAAGGAACTCTGGTAGCGTAGTGGTTACGAATCGGGCTGTGAGCCGCAAGGTCAGCAGTTCGAAACTACCAGCTGCTCCGCGGGAGAAAGATGAGGTGGTCTGCTCCCATAAAGATTTACAGCCTCGGAAACCCTGTGTAGGGTTGCTATGAGTCGGAACTGACTCCACGGCACATAACAACAACAACACTGACCCAGAAGACGGCTGCTGAACATGACTGTGACAAACACTCAACAGCTATTTCCCATCTCTCCTGGCTTTTCCTGTGGTTAGATCCCTTCTCCTTCAGTCTTCCGCCCACATCCTCAGTGTGGCTGTCCCTGATCTGTTGCTTACTTTCACGTTATCTATCTAGCTTTTCACTCCAGCAGATGCCAACCGATACACCTCTTGATGAGAGAAGGGCAAAGGACAACCAAGGATTACTCACTTCTATATATGGTGTGGCACTGTGTGTTAATGCGCCAGACTGCAAAGCCATTTAAACTGCAAAGTCAGCGGTTTAAACTCTCCTGCTGCTCCTTGCAAACCCTATACAGGGTTGCTATGGGTCAGAATTGACTCGATGGCACTTCACAACAACAATGTATGCTTCTAAGTGACCAGCATACTTATTTTGTTTCTCTTCATAGCAATTAGTCTCTAAAATTGTCTTTACTGTTCACTGACTTGCTCTGTGTGTAGCTTACACAGAGTAGGCGCTTTCTAAAGGTTAGAGATCTCACCCATCTGAGTGTGTAATGATTACATATGAGTAACGAATGAAAGAATGAAGACAACCCAATGGTGGAACAACGGTGCAGCTCCTCTGAACTGGACCCCCTCATCAAATCCTGCTTATATTTGCTGAATATAACCAAAATAAAACTCTGACATAAATTAATTCTAGAAAATTCTTCAAACATGAGAAAACAAGGTCCACATGCTCACTTTTTTGAGAGCTGATACACACAGAACTAGATGTGTGGGGTTAAGAACTCAACCTTCAACCACCTAATTATGGAAAAGAAAATTTCCACCAAGACAAGCCAAACAACATCTCGCCCACACAGGGTCACAAGGGCCATCAGCAGGCAGCCGTCCAGGATGAGTGACTTTAATGAGGCCCAGTAGTCTCCTCACAGCATGGAGGAATCTTACAAAGCATTCAGGGGCAATCTGGTCATTCAAGAAAAACACCGGCACTTTGAGTGAGTGATAAAAGCCCTACCATCTGTCATCTATGGCTCTGTCACACAGCACACAAGGATAGCAAGCTACAAACTACATGGCTTCAACTCCAGCCA